TCTCTCTCTCTCTCTCTCTCTCTCTCTCTCTCTCTCTCTCTCTCTCTCTCTCCTTCCCTTCCACTCTCTCCAAAAAGCAATGGAAAAAATATCCTTAGATGAAGATTAAAAAAAAAAAAGCTATAATTAAACTGTCTGGTAGATACTAGCTACCCTAGCAATGCCACTCCAGGAGCTCAAGATTTCAGCTGCTTGGAAACTTCATTTGAAACATATGACTCTTACACTGCAATTTCTTTGAAGCATAACTTTTCTGGCAAAGTGGAAGGATTTTCTAAGATCTGTATATCAAAAAATTAATTCAGTGCTATAGAATTAGACTTAAAAGTTTACTAGGTAGCTCAGCTGCGTGGCTCAGCAGTTTAGCATTGACCTATGATCTAGGATATTGAGCTTTGATTCCCAGTCAGGGCACATGCCTAGGTTGCGGGCTTGATTCCCAGCAGGAGGGTGTGCAGGGGGCAGCCGATTAATGCCTCTCTTATCATTGATGTTTCTATCTCTCTCTCCTCTCCCTTCTTCTCTCTGAAATCAATAAAAATATATTTGAAAAAGTTTGCTAGGTAGATTATAAAGGAGGAGCCAGTGGAGAGAATATGGGATAGGCAAGAATATCAGGAGACTTGGAAAGGACAGCGTCCTGCTGATTGTAGGATCTCTGATAAAAACAGACAGGGGGCTTACAATCACTAGAAAGGCTAGCTAGAGTTTACTATGAGTTTTTATTTTTATTTATTTATCTTTAAAATTAAATGTATTAAGGTGACATTGGTTAATAAAATTATTTAGGTTTCAAGTGTACAATTCTATGATACATCATCTATATATTGCATTGTGTGTCCACCACCCAATATCAAATTTTCCGTCACCATATATTTGATCATCTTTACCTTTTACTACCCCCACTCCCATCCCTCTGATAACTCCCAGACTGTTGTTTGTGTCTATGAGTTTTTGTTTTTAAAGTAAAGCCACAGAAATGAGCCACCACAGGGCGTGAGCTTTGAAATGTAAGAAGGCTAGCACAAAATTATTTGGACTCTGTTTAAAACCACTAGTTCTTTGGGCACTTTAGTTTCCTTATCTATAAAAATAGTTTAGCTATATAGAAATGAAAAATACCTAACCAGAAATTTGTTCTGAAAAAGAAAAAATTTGGAGGGCTTTCATCTCTCAATTTCAAAACTAACTATAAAGCTACAGTTATCAAGATAGTATGGTATTTGCATTGGATAAACACATAGATCAGGGGAACGGAAATGAGAATCTAGGGAAAAAATGTTGCATTTATGGTTCTTTAATTGTTGACAAATATGTCAACACCATTCATTGGAGGAAAAAATAGCTTTAAAAAATGGTGCTGTTGTAATTGGATATACGTGTGGGGGAAAAAACAAAAAAAAACTTGGACCCTTACTTCATACCACACACAAAAATTAACTCAAAGCAGATTATAGACTTAAATTTAAGAGCTAAAACAAGAAAACCTTTAAAAGAAAACTTAGGAGCAAATTTTTAAGACCTTGGGTTAGGTCAAGATTTCTTAGATATGGCATCAAAAGCATAGTCCATGAAAGAAAAAAATTGATCAATGGAATCTTACCAAAATTCAAAACTTTTATATTTTAAGAGATAGCATTTAGAAAATAAAAAGACAAACAATTGAAAAGACAAGCAACTTGGAAAGAGTATTTGCAAACCACATATTTGATAAAGTACTTGTTCCTCAGTCAAAGCCTGCTCTGAGAAAAAGTTCTGGTGGTAGGTTGCAAGGGGTGGTGGTGATGGTGGACATGTGTGGTTTCAGTTTACCACAAGAACTCTGAGGATGTCTTAGGATTTATCTGTAGTACAAAAGTACCAATAGGTGCCAAGCAGGCCAACACTGGATGGGATAAAAATCAGTGGGTCAAAGGGAGCCAAGCCAGTTGACATTTTGCAGCCTTATCAACCAAAAAGGCCTGAGGCCACTACTAGGGTCTGGTCAAGTTCTTACAGACAGAACAAAGATAGGCAATTTGCTGAATTGAGTCAATGTAATCTGACTGAAATAACAGTAACACAGTTGTGTTTACACAGTAACCCACAAGTCTAGATTAAGAAGGCAGCCCAAGTTCAGGATGCCAATGCAGAGTTATCACAGACCAGGTCAACATTTGGGGCAAGCAGTCCCATTAAGATAATCTTGGGACTAATGTGTTTTACTTCCAAAGGACCTCTTTATTTCTGTTGCTTGTCTGAGAGGTATGGGATGCAGGAATATATGTATGTATGGTTATTGTCTGTTTTCATGTAGGAAAGGGAGTTCCTTTTCCTTACTTGTACTGTCCTGGGTGTTCATCTCTTCTGGTGTTGAACTCCAGAGAAATTTTAGCATCCAGTCCAATTCCAAAATAGTTGTTCATGACGCACTTTTCTTTGAAACATCTGAAATTAGGCAAAGGGAAGAGGGGGACAGACATTGGTGCAGGAAAGAAGTGCCATTATTATTGTGCAGCAGACTTCATATGCATGATAACAAACCATTGAGGGAAGGCCTCCTCTACATTGGGCACAAGCCTTAATGTTCTTGAGAAGGACATGCAGATATCCTTTTGTGTTAACCACTAGCATTGTAAGCTGTAAGAGAGGGCACCTATCTAGTTGGGAGGATACAGTGGGATTGGGACTCATAATAAAGAAGTCATCTTTGAGGCCCTCAGATATGAGTGACCAATATTTCCACATATAATAAAGGGAAATAGAGTCATTGATTTATTCCCACAACAAACTTTTGAGTATCTCAGATAAAAATGTACAAGAATAGCCCTGGCCTGTGCGGCTCAGTTGGTTGAGCATCATCCTGTGCACCAAAGTGTTACCGGTTTGACTCCTAGTCAGGGCACATGCCTAGGTTGTGGGATCAGTCCTTGGTCAGGGTGTGTATGGGAGGCAACCAATTGATGTTTCTCTCTCACATTGGTGTTCTCTCTCCGTCCCTCTCCCTTTCTCTCTCTCTCAAATCAATAAAAACATATTAAAAAAAATGAAAAATGTATGAGAATAAAGTCTGCACTATTGTTTTCAGAGGTATCTGAACTCCTTTGTGGTGCTTTTACATCAAAGAGCAAACTGACCACAAGTTTGGGAGAAAAGACTGATAAAAGAGGATATATATGTCCAGCAGTTTTTTAATTCTTCTGCATTCATCTTGGATATTGACATCAAAACCAGTGGAGTGCTAGAGCCAGTTTGTACCAGCTCATGTCAGCTGACTGTGCCTATCACTTCCCAACTCTGCATTTAATGGCATTATATCAGTAGCTTGAAATAGGCCATGGTGGGAGGGTTTACACCAGAAAATAAATTAGAGTTTACCTTCCTTCCGCTCCACCCAGAAAGCTGGTTTTAAATGTTTGCTAGCACACCATTGATCAAAATCATTAGGTAGGTCAATGAAACCTCAGACATGAACTTAGACCAATAGTGAAGTAGAAGGGGATGGAGGCTGGAGATAGGAATAAATGGAAAGCTTTAGAAAACTTCAGTAATTGCTAGCTGTGTCCTTCTTCTGGGAAACTGAAAATGAGTACAGTGTAACTATTCAATTATAGATAATTTTTAAAATTTTGTTACTTAACTGACCCTAAATCTCTCACATGAGATTTGCCGCCCTCAACCACAGTCCAGAAATTGGGGTCTCTCTAACTGATCAACTGATCTTCTTAATGTAATTCAAAATGAGTGAGTGGGGCAGAACCTGGCTGCTGGGAATAGTCTAAACCAGTAGGGCTAGTGAGACAAACATCTTTAGATTTACTACCTAGTCCCCTAAATTTCCAGTTATTTTTTAGTACCTGCAATCATTTACTGTTAAAGGCAACAGTGGAAAAACAAGTCCTTTGAAAGAACAACAGCTAACATTTATTGTTTATAATAATAATATTAACAGGGATAAATATGAAAACACATAACATTTAACTATGGGTGCTAAGCACTGCTCAATGCAAGTACTTTGCATATATATACTCAATAAATACAACAAACCTATATGGCAGATTTTAGAATTATCTCCATTTTACATGTGAGGAAACTGAGGCCTTGGTTGCATAAGGTCACACAACTAGTAAAGGACAGTCAGGATTTGACTCTGGGCATCCTTAGACTATGCTCTTAACCAGAGAAAAGAAAGCCATAAAAAGGTCATAGGGCTAAATACTCACATAGTTTCAGGTGTAAAATGTAAGTGCTCCAAATTAAGATTATCTAGATCTTCACTTTTGAGACAAGGTATAGAAGACAAAGTGCCACAATGAGAACCTAGACACAAAAGACATCACCTTGGTGTCAGATGTGAGCAAGAAATCCCTGTCATCATTTGTATTTCACACTATTTTCTCTGTGGGTGTAGGGTCAAGCTTAATGACTTTATCTTGAATAACATTCAGGGTTTACTTTCCAAAGAGGGATCATCTTGGATGAACAGGGGCTTCCACTGAGAGGACAGTGAAGCTGAGTTTGCTTGCTTGCTGGCAGTGAAAACAGCTTCAAATCTTGGGTTTTATCAGGTCAGCCATTAGAGGTGAGTTTTCTGGGAAAGAGGGAGGGATATCTACTGCAGAGTAGGATTATGGCTAAAGGAAAATGTATGAAAACACCCTTTTATTCTCTGGGCACTCTGGGCATTAGAAGACAGTGATAAAGGGTAGAATAAGAGAAGAAGAACGGAAAAATCCTTACGGTGTCTTGGGCTCATCTGGCTAATATCTTCTGAGTCATCTTCCAGGAAGAAAGTTGAAGTAAAGTTCTTAACAGATATTGCCTGTCGGCTTTGTTCATCCAGAACTATAGATAAAAAATGAAAGTAAGGAAGGAGGGAAGGGAAGGGAAAGGAAAGGAAGGGTAAAAAAGGATGGCTGGAGGGAGGATTGGTTACATTTATCAAGCATTTCTTGAGCACCTGCTTTATTTAGTTAATGCCAGTCAGTGTGTGGTTAGACAACAGAGATTCATTTGACCATCACCTCTCCTCCATGATGTCGTTTGTAGTCCCAGCTTTCTTACAGTGTTGCCCCCATGTCTCTTCATATCCATACCTGAGCTTTCTCTGTTTTATCAGTTACTCTTCTCTGTCACTCAGGAAATGTGATTGTGAGTAGAAGCTCAGGGCCACAGGTGGGAAGGGGGAGGGGCAGGGTGGGAAACCCTCTTTGTTAATTCGTTTACTCATATGACTTTTATTCCAAACTTGAGCCTAGGAAAGTGCCATTCTTTCACTCAAATGTCTTACCCACACCCAGAATATTTGAGAAGGCTCTTCCATTCACCAGCCTATATATTGTATAGCTCAGGTGCTCAGCCTGTGCCAAAGCACATACATTCAATCCCTATCCCAGCAGGGGTGCCTTTCTCTGTCCCATAGCCACACACTGCACTTCTAAATCTGACTTATGTGTTGATGGAGCAGGTTGAGGGTTGGTTGTGACAGGGTTATGGCCACATTAGGTTAATCTGATCCTCACTACTTGGAAACTACCACAGAAATAGAGGCAAACTGACTGTTCAGTTCTTTCACAGTGCAGAAGGGAGATTTCCTTTCTTTCTTGGAAACTTGGCTGAGATTGTGACTAAAGGTACCAAGGCAGGAGAAGGTACCATGGCTAAAAGTCAAAGGGACTTCCTTGCTACATGGACTTCTGCTCAATTTCAATAGCTCAGGTAGAACATACTTGGTCTTATGCCATCTCTGATCTGTTTTTCAAAGAAGCATTGTGGGGAATAAATGGGAAACAAAATGTTAAATTAAGAAGTTGGAAGAGTTGCCTGGCCAGCGTGGCTCAGCAGTTGAGCATCGACCTATGAGCCAGGATATCGTGGTTCGATTCCCAGTCAGGGCACATGCCCATGTTGGGGGTTGGTTCCCCAGTAGCAGCGTGCAGGAAGCAGCTGATCAATGACTCTCTCATCATTGATGTTTCTCTCTCTCTCTCTCTCTCTCTCTCTCTCTCTCTCTCTC